GACCATTTAAGTGTACACAAACCCAAAACCCCTATTACTTTGTCAAGGTAACGGTCAAAGCGAAGGAAATGTTTTAGCAAAAAAACAGTAACTATTCTAAACTTCTGTTGCAAAAAGTTTTCTATTCTTTAGGTCAGTGGGTACGACACAATGTACAACCAATGGGACCGAGTATATCCGTTCATGTGTGAAGGTCAGTTCTATTCACCGCATGCTGATAACCGACTGTTCCAATTCTATTGAAATGAAATCGGAAACAGATCACTTTATGCCTTCCTTTTACGCTGAATGCTTTTCTTTTCAGTTTTGTTTATGAGAAACAAAAGCAGCTAGCAGTAATAGAAATTTTATCTTTACACAGGAGTGATAATAATTATTAATGCGTTCTAATCTGCGTATTTTTAAACCTCATTCACTTAGAAATTCTAAGCAACTGCTAAAAACTTCTATTCTGACAAAATAATAAAATTTTATTATCAATTTAGTGTGGAAGAAAGCTTTAACAACCTTCTTCTGAAATTATAATTTATACTCAGTTATTTTTTAATTTAGGGGGTACATCTCCAACAACAGGACCGTGGGTACCTCCAACAGAGTGTTACAACGGAGGCATATTGATTAATGGCGGCACACAGAATGTATGCTAGTATGGCCTGCTCTTATATCAAAAAAGTTTTTTCAATAATTCTAGCGCTTTCTAGGCAGAATGCTATTGCGGTTACTACTATGAAGGAAAAAGTTGTGAAACTATACGATGTTTCCACGACGGTTATGCATGGGCTGCAGACTCGTGCGCTTGTGCAGAAGGATATAGTGGGACATACTGTCAAGACGGTTAGAAGGAGTCACGTTGCTCTGTACTAGCAAAATTTGCGTCTAGTTTGCGTCTAGATTAAGCTGCAACTTTTCCATAGGTTGGAACAAAAGTTTGCTAATACTTTCTGTAAAAATCGCTCGATGTTTCAGTGAACTGTAGAGATAAATCATACGTTGACGGCCTTCATTATCGCGCAATAGTATTTGTTATTCGAACAGGCCGTTCTATGATAGACCATATCACTCAGATTACTACTGCAGCTGAAAACATTGCTTCATATTACGCTTTAATTGATCCCACTTATATACAACAATGGGTTCTGGTAACAGTGTCGCAAGGAAGTTAGCATTTTGGATGACGTTTTACTTACCAAACGTTTCATTCAGCTTTGAGCGCTTTCTACAGTTCAAAAGCTTCATTGTTCAAATTGTTGGGAAATCTTTTTTCTGCTTTTCTGGCAAACCGTTTATTCTTTGCTTATTTCCAGCTGTGAAGATGACTACTTACGATTCTAGTATAGTATTTATTTCGGCTATTAACACCCTTCCAACTACTGAAGACACAATATGTAATGACGTACTGTTTGAAGGAATAAGCGCTTATCTGTCATCCTCATATGCTGAGGCGTACAAAGTAAATGAAAAGCATAAAACCACTATAACTGCATTTACTTTATTACTCTAAAAGGAATAACTGAAATTATAAAATCGTTTAAGATTTAAAGACTGGCTAATGTTTAATTGTGAAAACTGTATGCAAATTATTAGCTTTTAAATAATTCAAAAAACAGTAGCTTTTTAACCAGATTCAGTGATTACACCTCAAGCTTTATTCAGCGCTCATCAATATTTGTCTTTTCTGATGGCCTACCAGACGACAGCGAAGAAACACGATTTGGACTGTATCATCAATTTAGTTTCTTTAGAGGACAGGTACTGAAAGGAAATGTTTTGTTTATATTCTAATGACAAACATGAAATTATAAAAATTATTACGCAGATTTTCTTCATACTTGCTGATTCATCTATTGGACGATGTTACATCGATAAATCGGCTGAAGAATATCGCAGCCTAAGATCTATCGCGCAGTTTACTCATGGACATGTTACGTATGTCGACATCAACTATATTAGTCAAGTAAGCATATTTCTATATTATGTAACAAGAAATTTTTTTAGTGAGTGCTCTGCTGTTTTACAACTTTGGGCGGTGATGTAAAAAAACTCCTCTGCTGGAAAAAGCAATGTTTAGGAAAGGTCAATGTCATATTTTGTTTATAGTTTGCTAATAATAGTTTTTTCTAAGTATTGCACTATCGTTGACCGCATTGACCTTCTTGCATTTCTAAAAAAATTTTTACCTGGGTTTATATCTGCTGAATGAAACCTCAGTCAAATAATGCTTACTTGACAAAGCAATACCAATTGCCTGGTTTATAGACGCGTGCTTCAAGTTGTTACTCAAGAGATGAAATACACTCTGTCTGCATACAAAAATAGAGCTTCTTTCCGAACCCATGGCAATAATTTTTCGATGCTGAAGAGAGGCAATTTAACAAAATAATTTGCGCTTATAGCAAATACTGTTACATTAAATGGTGGCAACTTTGAACTCTTAGCCAAAACGAGGATGAAAATAATTGTTACTGTCAAGCAGTACTGGTTCAAATGTCACTAAGACCACTTGGCTTATTGCTTGTTAAATCAGTTACGTAGTTTTGTGGAAAACGTTGATAGCTCTTTTGTGGACAAATCTTTCTCAAAACCGTGTTCTTCACCCTGATGTTTTTCCAAAGCATTTTTCTGTTATCTTTATGCTCTAGTCAAAATTACTGGAGGAAAAGCGTATACCCAGTGAAATGGTAGAAGAAGATTCACTACAGTTTATTCTTTTCAATTTGGCTATTTTATTTGAAGCAGAAAATTTAGTAGTAATAATGTTGCAAATTGTTAAAAGGAGCATGAAAATAAATGTCTGCAGCATCGGCACTCTCTTTGGCATTGCAGTCGACGATGGAAAAGTCTTTTATTTCTAGTCTTAGAACAAATCCAGTGTGCTAATTTCTGCCCTAGAGTAATGTAAAATTCGTATTGAAAAAAATTTTTCATTTTTATATTCTCTTTTAGTCGAAAAAAAATGTTGTAGATTTTAACTCTGAGTACTTAAACCTAGACAGTAGACAGTCGACCTAGACAGTAACCTAGACAGCGTTCTGAACAGCAGCGAACAACTACTGTAGCAAAACTACGATGAGAAGCTCTACATAAATGCATTTTTTCAGGCAGCTTACTTACTTGCAGCAACAATGCATCAAGCAGTGCAAGTGATGACCAACGATTTTCTGGATTCCTGCTTAAAAGCACCGAAATATCAGTCGTTCTTTATTGATGAAAGCCTGAAGAGTTTCTATGTGACGGGCGTCGGAGGTAGGCCGAGCATTTATCGCATGCTAAATGTTACTTAATGAAGACAAAAAAATGGTTGTTTTTAGACAGCTTAGTCGCAACCGTTATTACTCCCGACCGTACTGTTCTCGAATTGGATACGCTTTATAGTCAGGGTGACCTGCACATTTGGAAACTAGAAAACGCAACGGTTGGAGGTTACCTGGTAAGCTCAAATAATAAATTAGAGGAAACGCGGTTCGTGAGCTACTTTTATAATTTTTTAATTTGTTGGTTTTGCTCAAACACTCCTCTTTATTGGTGAAAGCAGGTAACACCAAATTTGCTTTTTCAGTACTATTTTTTGATCTTTTTTAGTTTATGGTACTAATAAATGTACAGTAGCTTGTTTCTCGCAACAAACCAAATAACTATCTTTTTTTTTAAAAAAACTAAAAGTTTAAAAATTGATTCATGTTTCACTGTTTTTTATGAGATCTGTAAGTGAAAGAATCATTACTTGCAGCTAAGCTTGAAAAGTGCTGGAGCGGGACCATGCAGCATTCGTGTATACGGAAGTGCAGAGACTGCTCTCTGGTTTGGTACGACTGATAATGTGAATGACGATTTTGAGCTTACCCTTCCGACGACAAGTAAGCTTTAACGTTACAAAAACGAATTTGGTTTTTCAATATTGTGGAATATATAAACAATTCCTGTTATCAGTCAGGAATTTGCTGTTTTTTAGTCGGTGGAAGAGTGAAAAGCTTTCTCATCGTTGTCAAATACAATAAACTTGTTTAGAATTATATCAATGTTAGCTTTAAACCTGTCCTTATCTTAGAAGTGATTCTAAACGAAAACTTTATCTGAGTGGATTTACAAACTAACGACTTAATGGTTTAAAACGCAGCATAACAAAAACTAATTCATTTTTTAATGACTTTGTAGACTATTCAGTTGTCATAGGAGTCTTTTCTTGCATTCATTAACCATAACGTTACGTGAAGTTGATGGAAATGAGTTTTAATTGAAAGTTATTCCATCTTCTCCTCTTTCGCTAAAGGCGGTTCAAACAGAAAAACGAACGTGATTTTCTAGAAAATCTCGTTTTTTTTTTTTAAAATAAGAAATTTTTTTACTTTTTTATATGAAATCAGACTTCATTTTGAATCAAAATTGGCCCAAAGTTACTATTAACAGTCTTCTCAAAAGGTTATAGGCATAAACTCACATAAGAAATCTGAAAGGTAAATGTCCAAAAATTAAATTGTTATGAACAGACTAGCAACTGTTTGCTTTTAGAACAATCATCTACAAGCCGATCATTAGAAACACAATAAAGTTTATTATTTTTAAACACCAGTGGAAAAGTTTTTTGTTATAGATATTGTCTACTAAAAGCAAATATCTTTTTGCAGGTATTCAAAGTAAGTTCAAAAAACTGTTATTTGTTTTTTTCAACTAGCTTTTTCACAAAACCGGAAAAATTTTAGCAAAAGAGGCTCATATTGTGGCATATATAAAAGGCGTCGAAATTCCGGACACTTTCCAAACGCACGCCGAAGCTACACTGTGGTCAAATGAAGGCCCGGAAGATAAACGCGTTGTAAAATACGCTTCAAACGGCATATACCGCGATAACTGTGCCTACAACTTGTACTTTGGTGCTTATCAATGTGAAAGACCGTTCAGCTTCGTCTACATTAACATCTACATGACCTCAAAGTCTGGATCCATTGTTCAACGTTCAGCGACAGCATACTGTTCGACAAGTAACTTTCATACAGATTTTCCCACTAACGACGAATCAGCATTAACATACATTGTGTGATCCACGATAATGCAGTGGTCAGATATTAATAATGACGAACGGTTGCAAGAGTTGATTGAGATGACTAAATAACACCAGAGCCGTGTAATTTTATCTTCTAAACGTTTAGCTCCACCAACGAGTACTCCACAAACAGACTGTCTCAATGGTGGGCTCCCTGTAGGCATTAACAATACGTGCTTATGTCCAGCACATTACACTGGCGACAAGTGTCAACGAATACAATGTTTGAATTTGGGTACAGCTGTTGGAGGGACATGTACTTGTGTAAACGGATTTACCGGAAAGTTCTGTCAAACAGGTTTATAAATCAGCTTATTTTAGTGTGATATACAAATTGCAACTTGCTGCGATAAATTATTCTTTAACTAAACATTCTAAAGGCAATCCAGTCACAGAAAAAAAGTGGAGTTTGGAAAAACCGAAAAAAAACATTTAAAACAACAAAAGTGGATGATTTACAGCTAGTTGTACCAGAAGGAACGATGAGGTCTACTTCATTCCAAACGGTCGTTCACTGTCGTTAATAATACAAGATTCTATTTCAACAAGGTATTTGCTCAGACACGTTAAAATGCTAAACCGTAAGATTTTCATCAAATAGTGAAGAAAGTATTATAAAAAACTTGCAGGAGTGCAATAAAAGCTATTTCGAATCAACTACCCGGCCTTTACCAAGACCTTATTCACCAGCACAAAGACTGGATATCAAACTATCAGCTTTGGAGATTCAACGATACAAGTGAGTTTCTCAGTCGTTCCATGTGTAAAAAGGTGCTGAAACGCATTATTTTCCTCAGTTTGGCCACTCATCTGTCTAATGCTAAATTTAGCTTTTACAAATGTAATGTCGTCGTCAAATCCCAACGACTTTTTAAATGGTATGAAGACACTGAAAAATTCGAACGCAGAGCACAGCGATGTGAGTATCAGTTTATTTATATCAAAGTTGACTGAAAACCTAAAAAATCAGCTCTTTATATTTAAAAAGCAAGCTCCACTCTTGAAACCATTATTTTTTAACAAATTTTTAATA